TGTGCATCATTGCCACCCAGGGTTCCATGGCTTTCATGGCGCCGAGCATGTATCTAACCGGCCGAGCAACACCATGTGCAACCCCGGAGATGTAGAGCCCTACATCAGCCCCAGACCAGAAGCCGTCTGAGCATCGCATGCTGACAGGTGGAATTCTCATTCTGTGTTTGCTTAGCCGTGGCCTGCTTGGGATCCTCGGCAATCTTATGCATACTTGAAAGTTCTATGTGAGCTTTCCTGGGTCGTGATCCGTCTTAGTCTGTTAGGGTTCTGTTGCTCACCCTTCGGAATGTTGAGTCTCAGCCTTGCTCGTCTCCGAAAAGAAGCCAGAGATGATTGCTTCCACACGACTGGAGTTGTACATTTCGCAAATGAGTCGCCTGAGACCCCAGAGCCGCAGCCCTGGATCCTATAGCCGAGCTGTAAACTTGCGACGAGAGAGTTTCTGGCTTTTGGCAACCCTAGACTCGTCGAAGCTCGTCATCATGATGCGAACGACATGTATTGGTATTCCCACTGCTACTGCTGCAACTACAGTGTCTGACAGTTGTCATCACTTCTCTGATGATGATGATGAAAATGATGAAAATGAAAATGATGATGATGATGATGATGACGACCGGGGGCTTCGGTCGTGGCAAAGTTGGTGTGGCTCTCATGGTAGCGAAGGGGTGGATCATGGGGGTGATGATCATTACGGCCTTCTCGTTTGAGAGTCCGATTCTTGCTCCCTCTCCTATAGTTACGTGGATTGTCCATCTCCTCCTTGCTTTGCTGATCCTCCTGCTTCTTTCTTCGGCCGGCCACCCGTCTACTGCCCCGGTGGCCGCGAGGTGTGTTGGCTATGCTGGTGGCCTTGATCGTCTTCAACCACTTGCACTGGACTACGCGGTACTGTGACCGCAAAGAGACGATTTTCAGGGACCGAGTCACGAATGAGCTGGGACTGGGAGCACGAAACCCCCTTCCGTCTTGGACCCTTGTCCCCAAAGGCAGACAGTCCAAGGCTACTTTAGCGAAGCACGGGAAAGCGCTAGCATGGAGCAATCTAGGCTTTCAAGGAGTTGCAATTGAGTCACCTGGAAATCCGGAGGCAGCAGCCCACAATCCTGCCTGACAGCCCCTCAACACCCTGAATAGAAGCAGCAACATGCTCGCTAGGCTTCTCGTCTTCGTGGACACTTTCTGGAAAGTTGGCTTCTACATCTTCGGATTGATAGGACACTCGCTGCGTTTATGGGGGCGGCCCCAACTTTCAGCTCAGCAGGGCAACCGTTCAATGGGTGAGCCACAGAAAATCTTCCGGTGCAAGAGAACTCTGCCGCTACACTTGCTTTTCGTCATAATACATGCCAGATAGCATGTTGTGGAAGCTCTCCGCTGCTCGATGGACATCCCAGAACCCTCAAAGCAGAGCCCGACAAGCAATGACCATCAAGATAGCGCAAGAGACAGTGCGCTGGTAAAGCGTTTGCATGATATGGACGCTTATGGACGCAACATGCTCGAGTAAAGCAAAAGGAATCCTCACAGTGGCCTCCACTTTCGTCCACGACAACGACAACCCAGACTCCATTCAGCGCTTTTGGCAGTTCCAGTGCCCCGTTGAGGGCTTCACGGTGTGGCATTGGAGGCTCTGAGGGTGTACGATTACCCAGAGCTTTCGGCGGAATCGACGGAGTTTCAAAGGCAGCGGTCTCTGACAATAGCATGCTACGCTTAACCCCAAATCAGGGTCAGAAATGGTGGTCGGAGGACATGTTTCGTGAAATGGAGGTGTGCATAATCTTCACTGGGAAGGCTCAATCTTGGATTCGGGAACCCACTGCCAACTCCCGGGTTAGAGCTGAGGGTCTGGCAACAGCACTCGCGATAACCAGAATGAATGTAATCGCAGAAGAATGTAATCGCAGAAGAAAGAGTAGGCAGAGAATAGTTCTAGCAAGGGCAGCAACAGCGAACCACCATGAGTACTGGGAGCAGGAGGATGCTTGCAGTGTTACAGTTCGACTAGCAACGACGGAATACATCACAAGGCCATACTACTCACGGATGCTTACACATTCTAGCAGTATTACGAAGACGAAGACTCCCCAACAGGTCAACTGCGACCCTTTGCCTAAAGCCGTTAACCTGCAGAGCCTCCTGCGACCCCCTAGGACATTCGAGTTCTCCGAAGGGACATGACGAAAGACACTCGAAGACTCCGAGAAATTTTCGAAGCCGAAGAACCCCCAAACGCCCCGAAAAGTTGGAGGTACTCCATCCTGGACATCAAAAGCTGGCAGCCCCGAGGATTTATCCTCCAACCTCTGGGCGGCTGGGAGTGTCAAGCATACATTTTGGGCTTAGCTTGTTTGTACAATTATTTTTTAAATGTGTGTGTGCTTCGGATTGCTTTTTTGGGTGGTTTGGCTGCATTGTCCTTTCTGGGATCCTTTAGAATCTTTCCTGACGGTCACGAAACCCTATTGCCCTCAGATTTTGGGAGGTGTTCGTTGTTGTCGAGCTTTGCATTGGGGTCTCGGGGCTGTTTTTTGGAGTGGCCGGAGATTGGGAGTGGAGGGTGTTGCAAAAGTGCGGAAGTTTGTCTGGTGAGTAGCAGCTTTGTTTGGAAAGTTTCTTTTTTCCACCATACTAGTGTGGCGGTTCTTCTTGCTGCTCTCCTTCTTTATTCTTTGTGATCTTGGTGTCATTTTCGTGTCGCTGTCGCTACTGCTTGGAGGCGCGATCATTGCTGTAGTTGTCGTTGCTGTTCTTGTTGACATGCTGTTATCGTTATAGCAGGGCCAACGAAACTTGTGGCATGGATCGAATCTTCCGTTGCGGGGGTTGATTTAGGAGGTGGCTTTGGTTGTGCTATGGCGTGCTGCTGGCCTCGGGTGCACAGTGTATAGGACTTCAGCGCCTTGGGTTGATTTCTAAAGGGAGTAGGGTTTCTGCCGTTTGCAGCTGTGGGGCTTTCTTACTCAGGTGTTGAAGGGGAGTCTGAACCCTTTGGCTTTGGGTGTCATGGTAAAGGCCATACCCGATAACGTAGTCTGAACCCCATGAACCTAGTCACATCGAAGAGTCACAATCACATGAAAAGGCCTGTATTTCCTCGGGGGCTTTCTGTTCGTCACACAGCCGCTTGCCGACAAGAAGGGCGTGGTTTCAAGGTCGCCCGTGACCTGGGACACTTGACCGCTGCACGGGGTCTTTCAGTGCTGGTTTTGACGGCTGTGATGGCACCAGAATATCCTTTCAATTGGTGGGCTTTAGGGTTTAAGGGAGGGTCTAAGGGTGTATGGTCCGTCGGTTCCGAAGCCTCAAAGCGACGGGATTGCAACAGCCTCAACTCGTTTGCAACCACATGCTCTTTCCTCTGCCTACCAGTGCAGTGTTAGGGCTGCGGGTTACGCCCTTGTGCAGAGTTTCCTGGACTTCAGCGTGTGCTGTAATCCTTGCCCAACACCGAAGAGCCTAGAAGAAATGATGATGATGATGCTGCTGATGATTCTTGATGGTTGTGGTAGCTGCTTAGGCTTTGGAGAGCTTTGATCGGCGGCCTCGTGTGGGAATTCCTTCCGTGAGCCTGTGGTCCCGACTTCCGGGTCCGGGATGGGGTTGTCTTAAGCTTTTCGGTTCCGAAGCCTTCAAAGACGCTCAACCTCAATCAGGGTCCTTCTGGAAGAGCAGATCCTCCCCGGGGAGGAGGTGCTGAAGTCCGACTCGGAGGAGAAGCCCCTCGCCGCAAAGCCGAAAGCCAGCCCACGTAGCCCTGGCCTAAAATCCCAAAAAGCCTAAGCCCCTGCAGAGAGTCCTTGGACCCGGCCCGGGGAGTCTTCCTCCTTCAGTAACCTTGGCATCCACGAGAGGGAGGACTTCTGACAAGTCTGATATCCGGCGTTTAGGGTCAGTTTAGGGTTGAGGCCAGTTTAGGTTTCAGGGTTCACTCTTGTGGGATGTGTTGGTTCAGGGTGTACGGGTTAGGGCTTAGACAAGCATCTTGCCGCCAAAGGCGTTGCTTCTTCTTGGAGCAGGTTGATTGGCAGGCCGAATGTGTGCAAACACAATCGCGGATCTGCCTCCGGGTGCTGCTCATGCGCAGAGCGCAAGAGGGTTCAGGACAATGGTGCACCTCATGTTTTTTGAGAAGCTTCTTCGAGCCTACCTCCTGGGCCTCCGAAGCCAAAGCCCTAAAGCCCTAAAGCCTTGATGTTCCTGGTTCGCAGGTGGCCGCAGCCATTCCTCACGTCCGTCGGGGGCCTCCCGTCCTTGTTGGCAGGGTAGTTCTGGGAGGCAGAGGGTGAAAGGCAAGTTTCAACCGCTGGCTGAAGCACAAAGCTGTCAACGTTCAGTGGTTTGGGTTTGGGACTTCAACCAAGATCCCAGCTTTCTATGCGTCGAGACTCCGAAACAATTGCCAAAAACAGCGAGTCGATGCGAGTCGAGAAGAAGTCCCAAACCTGCCTAAAGCCCCCAAGCTGTTCCACGCCCGTCGGAACGCTCTGAGGACCGTTCCGAATGCTACATCGCTGCGTTCAATCTGGGTGCCCACCCGCACCTGTGGCCTCAGCCGGGAGTGTAAGCTCAAGGAAGCAAAGAGCCCTGGCAAGCAGAAGAAGCAGTTCAGGTTCAGAGGTTCCGGGGCTTTATGCAGCGGTTTGGGGGCGGAGGGTTCGGGATAGCGCCATCATATCGCATCACTGCATACCGGTACTACGGAGCATTATGCACCGGCGTCGATTATGGCCAGAGGACAGCATGTCCTGTACTGCTCCGGAACTGCATGTTATGTGACGCATGCTGGCTTCGTCAAAATCCCGGTGTGGTTGCTTTGCTCCTCCCCCTACAGATAAAACGAAGGCACGCGTTTCAGCCTCCGTAGAGTTGCCGGCTGCGATTGCCAATCGATTACTCCCCTTTTGCGGAGCCAACCCGGGCCAACCCATTCGCAACCCATTCGCATGCATGCTCTCAGGATCGAGTACGAGATCCGGCGGACGAGCACCTGGATGCAGTACTGGAGCGCTGTCTGGGGTGCCTTGGCATCCACCTAGCTTCTCTGTTTCAGACTTGTATCCCAAACCACCAGGTTTGGGACGAAAGGGCATGCCATGTATTGCTCTTGGGAATAAGGATTCAAGCGATGCTCTGGACCCGAAGGTCGCTTTGACTTTGTGCCCCAGACCTGTGTTCGCGTTCCCTGAGCCGGGCATTGCAAAGCCCGAGAGCTTGAAGCAGACGCTGCCAAATTTACCGCATCCTCTGGTAAGACCGACGGAGCAGAAACGCGAAGATGACCTGACCATGGTCTCGGACACGCCTGGCAGTCGGAGCAACGACTTGCCATGCTGCTACTGTTTTTGTCTTCCAGCAATAAGAGCAGTGCCCTCAAGCAGAAAGAAGACTCCGCTACAAGATAACATAGCAGAGATCAACATGATGTACTTCGTCAGAACTGAATCTACCCACTCAGACAAAGCAATGCAGCAATATGGCCGTGATGATGTGCTAGTGGCAACGGTGGTTGTGGCGGTGGTGGTGATGAAGATAGTCGTAGGGCCATCATCACTTTTTCATCTCCTTCTCATCATGATTATCATCAGCATCAATCGCCACCATCAGTCGTATTATTGGGAGCCAGCCAGACGCAGAAGCAATTTTGGTGCTGGTCGTGTAAATACATGAACCGTTCCATCTCCTTGCATCCCAGGCCAGTGGATCCGGCGAGTGCCGCCCTCGACGTGTAGCTGGGCCTTCGTTTTCAGTCCAACAGCTTGGGCTGCTTGGGGTTTTTGCGCACGCTTGGGCCCGACAAGAGCAGACTTGCGCTCTAAGTCTTTCAGTCGGCTCTGTTGCTGTGCTGCCTGTGTCACGCAAGCTTATCGAGTTGTCCCTCGCGTCGCTTCTGGTCGTGGATGTCAGTCTAGCTTTTTTATCCAGGTGCTCAGTGCAGGTAGCAGCACTCCTTGATGAGTGTTCCAGTTTTGTAAAAGTATGATTTCCATCATTTCGGCAAACTGTCGTGAGCAGGAGTACCGTTCCCTAACGGAACGCTTTCCGGATGCCTACAGTTTTTTGTTTTCTCGTGCTTGTTTTCTTCCTCACGCCGGCAGAGCCGTCCGCCCGCAAACATACTAACCTCCAAGCTCCCGCAATCGCTGAACGACGAAGCCCAAACTCCACCACCCAGGCCGGCGAAAGCTCCAAATTCCAAATCTCCGAAGCCTTCCAGGCTTCATGGCCAACGAAACTCTGCCGGCCTTGGCGCTGAACCTTCCCATGAAGGACGCCGAGCGCGCCTGGGCTCCCGGCGCGCAAGGCAGTGCTGGTTAGGTCCGGGGGAAACGTGGTACTACTGGAACTCTAGCGCACTACTGCAAAACACTGGAACCCACTCCCCGCAGGACTTCAGCCCGGCGGAGGTGAAGAATTCCACGGAGAACCTCAGCTGCTCGCCCGAAGAGCACTGCCCACCTCAGCAAAACCAGACGATCGTCTGGTTTTGGGGTTTTGGGGTTTTGGATGTTCAGGTCTGGTCGCCTTAAAACACCAAAGCCCGTAGAAAATCCAACAATCCGCAAGGCCATAGTCTAGGAAGAAGGGTCCACGGAGAAGAGATTCCTCCATGTGAGCACTGCAGAATGAAGCCTTCCCGGGGTTCAGTCCCAAACCCTCCAACCTATCAATCCCAGCACCCAATCCCGCTAAAAACCACCCTCACGGCTTCCTCGCATCCGCATTCCTGATCTGCGCCCCGGCACTTCTGAACTCTTCCGGAGCAACTCAAAACGAATCAAAGCATCGGCTTTGGTCCCAGGATTCGCCCCTGCCTACATGGGGGCTGATGGTCCGCCGTGGAATCGCAGACAGCCTCTCTGCGTATTCAAGGGTCTGGAGTAGATTCTGAGGTTGAGATGGGAGGACCCAACAGTATCCAGAACAAACTGACCAATTGAGCACGTTGTATTTTTTTTGGCAAGAAGAGGGTCGCACACGAAAGCAAGCTAAGTAAACCGCGCTCAAACAACTGCAACATGCAGGCGGCTTTGCCGGAGTAGGGTCAGGTGGTAGTCTAAAGCTGGAGGAGCTTTAGTTGCTGCGATTTCCTCGAGCACGTGGTATGGTGGATGCGCTGATGCAGGTAGCTTGTTGCGTTGGGTTGGAGGTCGTGACAGGCGTGGGATGAAAGGCGGAATGTAGGGGAAAGTGGGTCTGCGATGTAAAGAATTGAATGGCTTCTGCTACGTGTCCTGTAAAGCGGCTCATGCGGTTCAGCCTGGCGACCCCAAACTCCAGAGCGGAGATTGCTTTCCATTGCCTGTGTTTCACGGCTGTGGCTCGTGCCACCCAGAACTTTAAAGTCCCGTAGCATTGGGACGAGGGAGGGACTTTATGGACTGTGACGTACCACACATCACAGAGGATCCCCAAACAGCATTCCCTGGCTGTGGGTAAGACGGCGCATGACAAGGGAAGATTCCTCATGCCAGTGCGATTGCAACCCAGATCCTTTTGAAAAAGCTCGAACCCCCTTGTGGAGGTTCTTCGCCAAGCACTACTGGACGGCTGCTTCGAGAAAGGATCAGCTTTGTCTTACGGGGGGGTCGGCGGTTCTTGGCTCAGAAATCTTCGTTGGTAGTCTTAGTGTGGAATTTGGCGGTGTTACCATTCTGCAGTGGAGGCGGCTCACAGTGATAGAGCGATGCTTCTCCCAAGCCCACACATGCCACCGCAGTGCGGACTTGGGGCTTAAGTCTCGCGGTGCAGGCGAAAGGGGTATTGGCGTGGCAACCAGAGCAGCTTTCAAGGGCAGCCATGATGAGCCCGTCAGCCGTGGGATTGAGAACTTGGCATTGCCCATGCAGCCAAAGGAGTCTAAGCGCAGTCGACCTGTGAAAGCTCGAATTGTGGTCTTATTCTAGGAGGGAGTGGCTTAAAGCCTAAAGCCTGGAAACCCAAGTCCTCAAATCCACGCCCTGAGAGGCCCTCGAAGGCCGTATAGAAGCTCTGACTTAAAGTGAGGCCTGCAACTACGAGTGCTACGAGTGGGGTGAGGGCTCTGCAGTTCCTCGGCGATGACTACGGAAAGGCCTTCACAAGCCTAATTGAAGAAGAGGTCGAGTAATGGCATCACCGTATAGAATTGTCCATGATGCTGCCATATATACCCCAACCGTTGCAGAGCCGATCCCAGCATCGTTTGGCAAGAACAGAAGCGACGAATACAAAACATCCGCGGCTGAAGCTCGATGGAGATGCCTGCCGCAGCCTGCCTTTGCTGGAAGACTCTTCAAGGCTCAAGGCCCAGCATGGCCCAGCTTCCGGAAGTGGACTTTGAGTTCTGGTTAGGTTCCAGCAACCCCCGAAACGCAAGGTGGAAAACTTGCTGGAGTGCGGCATGGTCATCGGGGGCGGCCTCACGATCGTGCTGGTAGCCAATGCTGTAGGCCGCTTCGCCCGGAAGCAGTGACAGCTCTTGACGTGCCTCTGTTCATTTCAACCGGAGTTTGACGCGAACGAGTTGAACAGAGACGTTTTTTGGCAGGCAAGCAGCTGCTTGTTGTGCTGTGTAGTGTTCTCCTGGGTCTGCAGCGCATGAAAGAACAGCGCCGGCAAATTTTCTTACTTGTAGAACTTGGTGGTTGGATGTTTGCTAGCTAGCTGCTAGCTGCAAGCATCAGCGCCGATCTTCTTTTGATGTGCAACTCAACCATGTTTATCTGTACTGTTGCCATCAGTGCTCTTGGCATCGTTCTCAAGACCGACACGAGAAACCCTCGAGCTTCAAGCCCCTGAACTTCCCTGAACCCCTACTGTTGTCCGACAGGAAACTACGTAGGTGTCTGTGCTGCACTGGACGTTCAGGGAGCTCCGAAGGGCAGTCATGCTCTTGTAGTTTGGTCATGCTCTTGTAGTTTTGTGGTTTGGAGGCTGCTTAGCACGTGAGCTTCGTGAGGCTGTCAGGTTTCCGGTTAAGAGGATGCATGCGGCCTGTCCTGTGTTAGAGATGGCTGTGCTGGTGACACGCGAGTTCTTGTGACGACAACACCCTTGAACCCCTTTGGCCGAAGACCCTGAGTCCTCGACCCGTACACCCTAAGGAAACAGCTTCGTTACGCACGACACCAAGCCCGAGGAGCTCATCAATGCGCCTGGGAACACCTAGCGATCGGTTTTGGGATTGAGGCTTGAGGGTGCAGGAAGCCGGGTTTGATTGCCGGGCTTGTGGGTTCGGGTACCCGAAGTTGAATGTTTTCCTGTTGAGCAGTCTCGTTGACAGTACTGCCCTATTGTCCTGGTGTCCCCCACCTGGCTTACCTTCATTCGTGGTGGTGAAGAAATGTCGCTCGGCCCAAAAAGCCTTTCGCCCCCAAAGACGAGATTTCTTCAGATTACGGGCCTGTCTGGAACACTTCATGAAAGGACCCTGTTTACGGGCCCTTGTCAGGTCCGTTCTTCTGCAAACTTTTCTCTGTGCCAGCCCCGAGCTTTCAAAGGCCTCACACTTCCAAGACATCGAAGGTTCTCTTGCGAGACGTCCGGGTCCTCTTTCGTGCTCGAAAGAGGCTATGCGAGTCCCTTTGCTGTCAGTCACTCGGCACTCTGCTTAGGGCCAGGGGCTGCTCGGGTGTGGGCGTGAGGGGGTGCGCACTCTTACTTTAAGTCTTAGGGATAGCAGTAACGCAAAATTGCACACGTTTTGCACTACCAAGTCGATCGCGGGTAGCGATCGCAACAGTCGTGGGACACGTAGCGAACCTATCATCCTTGTTTCGGGCACTACTGCATGATTCTCGAATGCCTTAGCACTTTGTGGGTAGTGAGGTCTCTCCGAAGCACATCGGGGGGGGGGGGGGGGGGGNNGTCCTATGGCCCGGATGTTGCAATAACCTCACCCCGGGAGCAGTGATGCTGATCACTCTCTAAGCAGCCTTGGCCCAAGTGTACATAGTCGGATCCTTACTATACGGACAGTAAAGCCGACCTTCTGTCTTCATGCGTTTCCACATCGCCGATTCGCCGGGTCTCAGGAAGATGGGCAACGATGCGACCGGGCCCCTCTACCGATCGAGGGGTTTAGGGTGTAGGATGATGTCAGGTCTGGATTTGGCTTAAGGTTTCGAGTTCCATTGTTTGCGAGCAAGCACCAGTTTTGACTTTAGCTTTAGGTTGACTCCCCATTGCTTGGGCTGAGAGGACCCTCAGGATTTGGGACGGTTCGCGGGTGGATACCATTTCGCCACAGCCGAGTGCTATGGTGCCAGGAAAGCTTTCCGGCTCTTTACGAAGCTGGCTTGGCAGGCGCAAAGTTGTGGAGGGTTGCTGCAAGCCCGTTCTCAAGTAGACGTGCCAAAATAGTTCCTTTACGCACCTGCGGTCACGGCAATGACCACAAATCCTGTTCCTAG